TCTGTGCATGCTGCTCTAGGGCTCTGATCCATCCATCTCCATGGGACATTTTGGAGCGTGTCACCCCACGTCCACAGGCATCCCTGTCGTGGTTCCAAAGGAAATCCTGTGTTCTCCAGCATGTTTGTGTTCATGGCTTGGTGAAGTGACTTTCCTTTGTGATTTTCCCTAATGCCAGTGAACAGCTGTGCAGCTCACACACATCAAGGGCTGAGACGGTGAGGCCAAGGCAGGAGTCACCTCCCATTTTTACTCCTGACATCCTTGGGCTGTAGTTTGGGGTGGGAACTGTCTGTCTCTTCCAGCATTAACCCATTATCATACTTTTTGAACAGCTCAGTTACAAAATCCTTGACAGAGAAACTGCAGACTGGAGACCCTACAGCTATCTGAATGAACTAGGTCAGTAATTTTTAAACACTTTAATCACTTTAGTAGACTTTAGAGCAATTCCAAATCCAAATCAGCCTTTCATAAAGGCATAAACAATAATGAGGAATATTGGTGTTGTCTTTAGTTCACAATCAGAATTGCCAGTAGTGAAAGATGGAGAATTAAAAATTGTTTCCTTTACCACAAACCACAGACTGGGAAAGCAAAGTCAATATTCATTTTAGTCTCCCTTCCAAGGTTGCTCTGTTGAATCACTATCATCTACTCTATAAATGTTTTTTTAAGGACTAACTCAGGACATTAAAAATTCAAATTTGGCTTTTTTTTTTTTTTTTTTTTTCATGCTTAATAAAGCTTAGCACTAAATACTGGCATCTTGATGAAGGTGTGGAGCCTCTGTGGGAGCTTGGGTGTGCAATGCTCCATTATCTCCCAGTAAATCATTCCGTGGCAATTCTGAACCACCAGCCAGTGCAACCAAGCCAAGAGTGAAGTGTAATTGCCTCTGCTGAGTTTATTCTTCCTGGCTTGACTTTTAACAGGGTTTTTAGCAGCTCTTAGCTCAAATCCTGCCCAGATTTAGTGCTTTGGATGCTATTTGTTTTCCTATCTGAGCACTCGGAGTTTGGCTCATCAGTAGCCCAAAGCTTTTGCCCTTTCCTTTCCTGGGATTAGTAACATCTCACTGAAAATATGCAGGAGGAGGGAAAGTGCAGCATTAGGGGGTATTATGGGATTTTCAAGGTCAACTGTCTCACAGCTCACATGGCAAAGGAATGAACATAGGGCAGCACCAGGCATCACATCATGGCCCTGCCACGCCGTGCCTCGCTCCAAAGGTAACTCTTGCTTGCATCAGGAAAATCACAAATCTGTCAAGCTTCAGTGCAAAATCTTTTCATCCTTAACACCATCCACGTTTTCTATGTAATAAGCTGCAGAACCACTGTTGTGCTTACCTGTATGTGACATGGAGGTGGCTGTGTGTGAGGGTTTCCAAATGCTTCTCAAACCACATTAATTTTCCTTTTACCATTTTGCAGCTTTTTTTGCACACTATTTGCTCTATTTGTGTTTAACTTGTGCTGTCCTGAGCTCCCCATGTGCCACCTCTGTTCTGCATTCATGCATTTTATTTTTCCAGCAGAAACGATGCTAAATGCCTCTGCAGCAAGAATGATCTAGAAGTGATAAATACTTTAGCTAAGGAGCCTCCAGCAAAACACTCCATTTTTTCCCATAGCATTTTGCATCCAAGATAACTTTTTCTTTCTTTTTTCAAACTAATTAATGAAAATTAGATTTTTTTTTTTCCTTTCTTCTTAGGACCAGAATTAATGCCTGCTCATGCTAACTTTCACAACGTTGAATCCTTGCTGAGATCAAGGCTGTTTTTACATGCAAATAAAAAGTTTTCATGTCTTTTACTGTTGTGCAATAAAAGCTGCAGGTTCCTCTAATGAAAATTTCCAAAGAGAGTTTAAATCTTCAAGTTTGAATTATAAATATAACATGAAAGTCCGATAAGGTCACACAGGGAATCCTGACTTTCAAACATCATCAAGCAAGGAAGTACCACAGTTGAAAACATGTTCAACCTTCTGATGCCATGATCAGCCTTAGTTTCATAACACAGATGCTCCAACTCTTGTGTTGGAAGAGCAGCCAAGCCTTGGGCAGGGCTGGACTCAGTTAAAAAGTTAAAAATAGCAGTGGACAACTGCCCAACTCCTCTGCTGTGACCCCATGAATTGTCACAGAGAGCAGATGTGGGAGTGAGCCAAGGAGAGGGAAATAGAAGAGAAATGGAAGAGAAATTTGGAATGGATGGAAACTCGCTCCTGGTTCTTCAGTCAGTGACTTCTGTGGTGATCCCAAAGGATGGGACCCAGCAGATGAGGAGAACCAGGCTCCCAGAAATGCCTGCAGCCCTGCTAGAAACTGCTGGTGTCCTAAACATGAATTAGAGCTGGGGAAAGGAAATTGTAAGAATATCCACACCAAAATCAACTTGAACACTCATCTCCTAAAACCTGCATTGATAAGGATTTTCTTAATTGCAGTGGATCTCACCAGACTGCAGGTGTTTTGCCTGTTTTGTAGGACTTTGTTTGCCAGGTTCATGTTCTTTCCAAGTGGGAAATGCAAGGACAAAGGCTGTACTTTTACTGCTGCACATTTGTTTATGAGCTTCAAATTCCAGGTTTTTAGAGAGCTGATTGTGCTCAGTGGAGTCTGGGGAGGAGCACAAGTAGTTCCCATGAATGTGGACTTGAGATATCATAGTTTGGGAAGTCTCTGGTGACAAGAAGAGGTGGCTTTGTCACCTTCCTGTGTGTCACTGCCTGCCCAAGGCAGCCTGGTCCTTGTTTCAGGGAATGGCTTTTCCTTGCCTTTTCTCTCTCTCGTGTTGCAGAGCTGGAATTGTTTGCCCTGTGAGAAATCCCTCTTGCTCTAGTGCAGTCTGCACGGGGCAGGGGCAGAGCCCAGCTTCCAGCTCCCATCCCAAGCAGGTGAAAATTCCCAAACCACTGACCTGAGCTCAGGAGAGGTTCTTGTCTCATTGTCTGGAACTGGCCACAGCAGATGCAGGCAGGGCTGGGTTTATCTGTGATGCTTTTTTAACAGCAGTCCTGGATGCAGACACTAAAGTGGGATTTGCAGCACATCATGAGTGACTCAAAGCTGCATTTATTCCAGAGACCAAAGGCTATAAGTTTGATTCACAGCTGACTTCACTTTTTTTCTCAAAAGCCAAAAGGTGTGGAAAACTATTTCCAGCTGAGAGTCTAATTTCACCCCAGCAGGTAATTTAGCTTCAGACTTAAACCTGGACTTTCCTGAAGTGCCAGATCTCTGGCAGGTTTAGGACTTTTCCACATTAACTACTTTTGCAGTTTAAAAAATAATGTATCTAGTATTCATTTCACCTCCCAAGGAACTTGGTGAATACAAAAAAATGGGTCATAAACCCACATTATTATAACAGATAAAAGAGAAAACTAAAGGAGGAATTATGGGAATTTCTGGTTGGGAAGCTTTGTGGGGTTGTGTGGCCCTCCCCATGGGTCAGCCTGGGTCCCTTTGTTCCCTGCCTCTGCCTCTCCATGGGTACAGCCCCTGCCCCCGGGGGCCTCAGCTGGGAGCCTTGCTCCATGGGGTGGGCTCCAGATGCTGCTTGGACTGCTACCCTTGGAGATGTGCTCATCCCTGGCAGGAGGAGGACGTGTGACCCCCAGGCCAGCCCTGGGGCTGTGGGCCAAGGGATCAATTGGCTCCATCCTCCTCGCTCTGACTCTGCCCAGGCAGAGCACAGCAGGGAAAGAGCACAGAGCTCATCCTGCTCTGGGACAGAGCTGCCCAAAGCTGCCAGTCTGCCCTGCCCTGTGCAGCAGGGTGAGTCTGGGAACTGGCTCGTGGTGCACAACAAAGCAGAAGGTGCTGGAATGGACTGGGGGGTCACTCGTGGCCAGAAGAGCCCCATCCCAGAGAGCCAGGCAGTGCCACCAGCCCCTTTCCTGTGCTCAGGGACGGGCACTGAGAACCAGAGCAAAGGGTTGGTTTGTCTTTGATGTGCCAGTAACATATTTATTGTCTAATTTAGTCATTTCCCTTATTTAGCAAAAAAAAAATGAAGCTGTCATGAAAAAGGGGCTGGTACAGCATTGCCCCTAGCCAGGACAACTTTTCTGCAGAGACCAGAGGACACACAAGGACAAATAGCTGGGAGACCTCTGGGAGACACTGTTTGTGGGGCTCTTTTCCCAGTCTAACTCAGTTACTTGACTGGGAATCCCATAAGCCACAAGGACATTCCTCAGTAACCAAATCTGTATTGATTGTCCCAGTCAATAGGAAATGCCAGACTCTATAGCTAAAAAGATTTAAAGGCTTACATTAGATTTTCCTTCTGATTGATATCTAGGGTAATTTGCAGAAGTAAAAATGGAAAAGGTCCCCATCCCCTTCTGCCTCAGCTTCTGTGAGGAACAGCAAGTTCCTCTGGAGCTGCACAAGGCAGAATTATTGGCTGTCAGCTCTGCTCCCTGTGCTGCGCTGTCAGAGCACAGTGGTCACTTAGGGACTGTTGTCACACCAGTCACTGAACTGTGCAAATTCATGAGCAAAGTGTCAGTAGGTAATTTTAAGGAGATTGTGCACAGATTAGAGTGTAAGGCTGTGAGTTAAATAATACACTCTCCACAAACAAAACAAAGCCTAACATTAGTCACAGAGTGCTGCAACGCAACCTGCAGACTCGGATTTGAAAGGACACGTTTTAGGCTTCTTTCACACCATTCCAGTAATGAATGTCTCAGCAGATGGTTTTTATCCTGATCTCCTGATGGATGGCAGTTCTTGGTAACCCTGCTGCAGAGAGCTCTCCCTTCCAGGGAAACTCTTAAGCACATGCATAATTCCAGGCGTGCACAGACTCCCCACTAGAGCTGAGTGTGTGGTTACAGCTGAGGATGTGCTTAAGAGCCTCCCTAAATGAGGGCCTTGATGTACAATTTAGAGGGAAGAATATATGCTGCTCAGCAGTCAAAGCAATCCAATTTACATAAATATTTATTTGTTTTCCATTATATATCATTTTTATGCAGGTGCTTGTGGGATGGATAGACGTCAGAACACATACATAATGGAAAAAAGCTTCAAAGGTATGGTATCCAGAGCTGCAGAACCCTGCCCAGGTGTGAGGAGGGTGTCCTAGAAGAGGTGAGATAGGAGCCCAGGCAGGGAGGGACAGAGCCACCACCCCCACGAGCTGCCTGCCTGGCTCCCAGCACTCCTGGGCCATGAATGATGGATGCAAAGCTTCCCAGGGCCACGGGCTCTGCAGCACAGGGAGAAAGGGAGGGCTCAGCTCAGGGCAGGAGGGGCAGGTGGAGCTGGCCAGGGCACACTCGGGTAGGAGCCACCGGCCACACGGGCTCTGGGGGAGCTGCTGGTGTGCAGTGCTGCACTTCTCTGCTCTTGGCTCCTGGCCATGCTGAGCTAAGGAAAGCCCAAGGACAGAAGCTGCCCCTGCTCGTGCCCTCTGCTGAGGGGGATTTAGAGCAGAGCTGGAGAAGAGCCCTCCCTGAGGCTGAGGTTCCCTCACGCTGGCACCACTTGTGGGCACTGACTCCAGGGCAGGTCTAAAACAGGAGCTCAGATGAGTCACGAGCACAGGGCCCAGTGGTTTTACATTTCACTTTTCCTCCACATTTACATTCTCAATATTCCAGCTCTGTCTGGACCACGGAACGCAGTGGTTCCCACAGCTCCTGGCAGACTGGGCTGGGGTTTAGCACACTGAGCTTGTGCTCCAGAAGATGGAGCAAGGAATCTGTGTCCTGGGGAATAAGCAGCTTTCAGGCCGAGGTCCTGGATCTGAATTATGCCTGGGAATGTCCCTCAGGGAGCCCAGGAGGGAAACAGCACACAGCCTCTTCCTGCAGTGCCCTGGGCTGCTGCCCGACCCCCCTCTCTGCCATGGCTCAGGGCTCCAGAGCCACACCTTGGGCTCAATAAGGAATATCAAAAGCTGTTCCACATAAAAAGCATTAACCAGTTTATAGCCAGGCCTAAAGATCAACATTCACTTTTGAAAACAGCATCCCTGTTTTCAAAAGACAGGGATGCAATATTTGCTAGAACATCACCTTACCACACAGAATCACCAAAGGAAACCACGAACCAACAACCAAGTCTTTGTTGATAAAGCTAAAGTAAAAATATGGAATAGATTATGTATGTATATCATATATATAATTTATGATATACAAAATACTCAGTCCACTGGTTTCAGCTACTTCAATGATTCCCTTTTTCAAAAGAAAAATGTTACTATAATAGAGTTAGTTGTTCCCTTTACATGGAGCTACTAACTTCATTAGTTTAAACATACTTACTGTGTTTACAAAGCACATGCAGCAGAACTCCCACCCACGGGCACAGTCACACAGAGAGGGACCAGTGGGGCACAAAAAATGAATCACAGTGACAGAGAACTGTGAAATACATTTTCAGCTGCTCCATATTTTAATTTTTAGGATCTGAACTATTTCCTTTACATGTTTATCTCTTTATAAATTGAAAAACCAGGCTCAGAAGCCACAGTTGGAACTGTTTGGGGCTGCTCAGCTGCCTCAGACAGGCAGGGCTGGCACTGGCAGGGTCACAGGGGCACACCTGGCGTCCCAGGTATGTTTGGGAGCTCAGCTGCAGGCACTTAGGAGCTGAGGGCTCTCAGGAGCAGCTGCCTTTGGCTGGCTGAAGGTTCCCAAAGCCCCTCTGGAGGTCAATTCCTGGGCTCAGGCAGCTCCAGGGCTCTGTGGCACCCCCAGTCCCAGGGGAGTCTCCTCCCAGGAGGAGCTGGGAAGGTGCCCAGTGCTCAGAGTGAGCTGTCCTTGCCCTGCCAGGCCCTGGCTCACCACATTCCTCAGAAAATGGAGAGGAAAAAACTCCCAGTCCCAAACAATCGGATTCTGTCAGCAAAAAGACTTGGCAGGCAGGTGCCTGGTTTTTAGCTACTTTCATCCAATTTAAAACCATGTCTTTTCCCACCAGTGTGGTCTAACTGGGGACAGCCTGTCCTGCATTGGAAGTGGTCTCTGGTGCCCCTGGACCAGACAGAGCCTTGCAGGGAGGGGGCACAGGGGGCTGTGGAAGCCCTGGGGCACCTCCTGCTCCCCCATCTCTCTGAGGAGACCAGAGCTGGGGGCTGTGCCCAGAGCAGGGCACCAGCAGAGGGGTGTCCCCTGTGCAGCCTGGCACCAGGGCTGTGGTGGCTGAGCTGCTGTGGAGCTCCAGGGCTGGGCACAGAGATCTGCCAGGTGCCAAGGCCAGTGCCAGAGCAGCAGAGAGGGGCTGGCTGTCACAGTGCCAGCCCTGAGCCCTGTGGCACCGGGTGACAGGGGCTCACCAGGCACAAGGGTTTTCAGAGCAGGTTTCTGAGCAGCTCCTTTCCTGTGCATGGTGCTCAGTGATGCCATTCTTGAGCTTTTCCTTGCAGCTGAATTATTCTGTTTTTGGAGGTTTGGTTTTTAAATGAATAGAGCTGCACTGATGGAATGATGTGACCTCAGGCACCACCATTTTAAGGAAAAACACCCATGGCTTTGCAGAAGAGCCAGGAAAACCCCAGCAGAGAGAAGCACTGATCCCAGGGATGCAGGGCTGGGCTCTGAGAGGTTCCCCTGGTTGTTGTACAGGATGTGTCCCCACTCCTGAGAGGCAGCAGTGGGCCCTCACTGTGTCACTGTCCCTGCAGCAGCCAGGCTGCCCAGGTTAGGGACAGCAGCCAGCACAGGCACTGCATCCCAGCAAGGGTTAAAGAGCAGGAGAGCACCTCTCCTCAGCACTTCCACCTCGGCTGGGGGATCCAAGGCTTCTCTGCAGCATGCCAGGGGAAATTCAGGACAGAAGAGAGGAACCCAGTCTGAGGGAGGGACATTTCCAGTCCCTGCTAACAAAAATAAACCCTCCAAAGGTCTGGTGATTGGTATCCAGGCAACACAGAAGGCAGGGACTTCAAAATTAGAGCATATTCCCAATATTTCTCTGGAAGTCCAGTTGATTGAGTGCTTCCAGTGAGTCCCAGCACTGTGGGGGAGAGCTTTCACCTTCATGAGAGCTGCACCCTGTGGCAGGGAGGGATGAGGAGGCAGCACAGCCAGGGCTTACACATGGCCTGCAGCACCATAGGCTGAGAATCTATAAATATGTTTGTTCTGCTTAAATTAATTCATGAAACAAAATTTGACAATTGATACCAGATTTCTTAATTATCCTCAAATTACCTTAATAACAAAGTAACTCAGCTGCTTCTACAGCCTTCAGAGTTAAATCCTCCGTGATCTTGCACGTAACGTTTCTTGAGGGCTAATGACTCCCTGGTGTACCCAGAATCCCAAACATCCAGCATTTTATGGTGCTCTATAAAATATATTGTGTCCAAAGCAAAGGTCTGATCCCAGGCAGGCACAGAGCTCTGTTTACGTCAGCAGCAATGGGCTCCAGGCACGTTGTTTCTCAACAGCTCCTGGGAAAAGGCAATTCCTGGGGGAGGCCAAACAAGTCTGGGCAGCCCAAGGCATTCATGGGCTCTTCCAGCTGGTGCTGGGAAGGGCTAAGGGACACCTGCCTGGGAGGCAATGTCAGCCCTAACTGCAGTACAGGTGGATTTTAGCTTAGGGAGATAAAAGTAGCTGAGCTGGATGAAATAAAACAGCTGATGTGCTGGGATTTTGCCTTTGCCAGCTCCGATGTGCCCAATTCCATAAACAAACCACACAGCTATTTACCTGCAGCTGCAGTTCTGCAGGGGGAGGAATTCTCACTCTGCTCTTTGCCGCAGCAGCCAGCAATCCTTTATAATCAATATTTCCTGAATCTACACCAAACTCTTGTTTGATTTGTTCCCTCCCAGCCATGGTGGGACAGGGAACACTTTGCAGGGGGCTCTTGGGGCACAGAGGGAATCCTGCTTTTCACCCTGTGAGCATCTGCTCAGCAGCACTGCTTGAAATGGAGAAGCAAGCTGATGATAATCCTCATGTCCCTCACCCCAAAAAGCAGAGCTGGCTCATTAGAGGCTGCCCAGGTTCTCATAATGAGCTCTACGTTCCTGGAGTAGCCAACACATCCCAGACTGTGGCACCTGGATTTAAGTCACATACACAGCAAAAGCCAACACTGAGCTCACTCATGTGCAGAAGCCTTTGGTCTCACAGGGCTGCTCCATCTCTCTGTAGAAGGATGGGATGGGGCAGTTTTCCACTCACTTGTACTGGGCTGGGGCTGGTGACACTGGAGGGACAAACCCTGCAGCCAACAGCCAGGGAATGTCAGTGCTGCTTTGGTTCCCATCTCCTGTCCTGTACCAAACCAGGCATGTTTCACTTGGAAGCAGAGGCACTGCTCACCTCACCAGGCTGATGTCACACAAGGGATTTCTAAATTTTCTAACTAAACACTGCACTGGTGCCAGGCCTCTGCCAGCCTCCCCATCCCTGATGGTCCCAGCCCTTTGTGTGCAGTGGAGCTTCCCAGTGAGCTGCTCTCACTGACCCTGAGGGCTCTCCAGCCTTGCTGGTACCACTGAAATCAGGGCCCAGAAAGGCTTCACCTTCACCTCCCTCAGGGCTGAACCAGTACCCAGGGGCACCAGGCTGGGGGTGATGGACACACAGACACGCAGATACAGGCACAGACACAACCCCAGAGCTGAAGGAGGGACAATCACTCACAGTGGAGCAGACCTGGCATGTGAGGGAGCAGGACGGGGCTGGCAGGCTCGGAGCCAAGGTTTGGAGAAGTGATGTCATGTTGTCTGTCTATTTCTTAACCTGAATTTCTCTTTTTGTCTCCCATACTAGACAGCGGGGGCAGCTGGGATTGCAGCTATTTTGCAAGTCCCCCTATTTCACCGGGAGTATTTCATATATACCAGGATCTGCCTTTGTACTGTAACCCAGCACAAGAAAATGCCTCATCTTTCATTGCATCGCTCTAATTCTAAATTACTGGCACTGCCCAGCAGGATGCACACAGCAGCAATGGCACGTTCTTGAATGTCAATGTTAAGACCTATTTATTCTCTATTGTTTTTTATTTTTAAAGCAAGACTGTACCTTGCAGCAGGCTGGTCTGTCCCAGCCAGGGTCACTGGCCGGGCAGGCCAGTGGTCACAGCTCTCATGCCAACCTTCTTCTCCCCAAGTAGTGCCTCCATCACCTCCTCTCCAGCCCAGGGGAGAGGAGCAGGAGATGTCTGCAGCAAAGTGGGGAAAAAAGCAGAGCAGAAGTGAGGCTGAGATGGAGGCTTGTCCCCCTCTGTGGAAACCCAAGCATTCCCCGATTGTAGGATGCTGCCTAACCCCAAAACCGGCAGGGGCTGCACATGCAGAGGCTGCACTGGTGCAGTTGTGAGCCTGTGGCAGCGCCGTGTGCTCCAGTGCAGGGCACTGGATGTGCCCGAGGCCCCGGGACTCACCCTGCAGCTGGCTCAGCAGCCCAGGTGCCAGCAGCAGCTCCTGCCTGCAGAGCCGTGCCGGGGTCTGTGGGCAGGTTAGCGGGATGAACACGGCTCCCTAGGAGATAGGGGGAGGGAGGGAAGGATTGCCACCTCACATTAAATACTGCTGTAAACGACAGCTAGGAACTTGCACAGGAAAACCTTCAGTACTCAGCAGGTTTTCATTTCTTTCCTGCTAGTGAGTGGTGGATGCAATGGTGTGGAACACCCAGAGCACAAGCACCGGGTGTCTGTGCTGGAGGCTTCAAGGATCTTCCTTATCCCCTGCCCCCTTGTCCCCCCCAGCCTTCCTGCAGAGGCTCAGCTGTAATTAACCTGATTAAGCTAATGATCCTAACGCACCCACTCCGCTCTTGTTTTGCAGATTATATGAAAGAATCTGTGTGCAGCTCCAGCACTTGTTCCCTGAACAGCAGTGAAAACCCATACGCCACCATTAAAGACCCCCCCATTTTAACCTGCAAACACTCCGAGAGCAGCTACGTGGAAATGAAATCGCCTGGTCACAGGGAGTCCCCGTATTCCGAAATGCCAACTTCATCAACAGCCAACAAAAACATCTACGAAGTTGGTAAGCAGTGGGTGGCAGGGGGTTTGGTGGAGATGCTGGTTTTCCCCTGTCCTGGTACAAGGATCCTGGGCTTGGCATGGCACAGGGGGAAGGCCTGGGCGTTGGTGTGCTGGTTTGGGGAGCTGAGCCACAGTGGTGGATGTCTCGAGCTGGAAGGGAGCCATTAGGATCAGGAGTTTTGGGACTGCTCCTGATCACCACAACCCAGTTCTCCTTGCTCCCCCAGAGCCCACTGTCAGCATAGTCCAAGACACCCGCAGTCGGAGTGCCAGCTACCTTCAGAATCCCTACGACCTGCCTAGGAACAGTCACATTCCCGGTCACTACGACCTGCTCCCCGTCCGGCACAGCCCCACGCACGGGCCTTCCTGGGACAAGCAGTCCTAGAGGGATGGACTTCACTGGGCACTGTGCTGCCAACACAGACTGTGAGGAAGCAGAGGAGAAGCCATTCCTTCCTTTCCTGCGGACTGGCAAGGACTTAACACGACATCAGCTTGGGCCAACTGCTGCTGCATGATGTTATTTATAAAGACATTTTTGTATGGGTACCTGGAACTAACGAGAGCCTCCTCCACGTGGCACTGGAGCACATCACCCCAGGAAGGTGTCTTCATGCTCCAGGCAAAAACTCTCTGTGGCGTGTTCTAACCCTGGCTTTGCTGTAAAATAAACCACAAAAACATGCTAAGTAGAAGGACTTCAAGATTTACATTTCTACCAACTGCATCAAGAAACCTTTTACTGTTAGGAACAAGGTGACTAGGAATACGCTGGAATTTTTCATCTTTGTCAAGGGAATGGACATTTTTCTGAATGAGAGCAGGGAAACTTGTCATTTCACTGTCTGGAAAGCTCATTTACTGCCATCACCATGTGCAACCTGTGCAGATCATGCTTGGTAATTAACATTGAGATTGTCATCTCTATATTCAGTACCAGAGAATTTGAGTTGAGGAATATTAACACAGACACTTTCTGTGCAGTTTTTAATATCTTTCCAAACATCCCCTGATCTTTGCTAATGAATGGAGTTTCCACAATGAGTCTCACACCCACTTACCACACTTTTAACGGTGATTGGCACAGGTAGGCTTTGACTTTCCTTATGCAGCTTCTATTTTGGTAGCTAAATCCAGCAGATCTGTCAGGCAGTTTAAACTGCTGCCCCTCCAATTCCTGCCCTGGGACGCTGCAGGTTTGCACAGACCAGGCCTGGTTTCATTTCCTTTCTCCAAGCTGAGCCACATCGGCTTCTCTCTCCCATCTCCCCAAACCATCTCCTCATGATTCACTGTCAGCATGCCACTGATGACACCTCAATCTGATGTGCATTACCATGTAGTGCAAATTTATCCGTTGATGATTCTACCTGAAATGTCATTAAATGGTGCTGAAACTGGGTTTTCTTTTTCAGCAGCTGTTTGTGAAGTAATTATCAAGGGTCTGACCTATGGTAAAATTTTGGACTGAGCCACCATGATATTTTTTTTAATTTATAATCTCTATTGACCTAGAAAGTAGAGCACTTGCCGTTAGTTCCTTGTAGATTTTGAGCATGAAGTAGTATTGACTCTAAGTAAATAATTTTATTAGGCAAACGTGGAAGTAGCAAGTTGATTGCCTTTTAAATATAGCAGATATTCTGTTGCACATTCGCCAGTCTGATGGAAGCAGAAGAGGACGACACCAGCCCCGTGGGTTTGCTCCCAGCACGATGCCAGGAGTGACCTGCAGGGCTCAGGACTGGCAAGAGGAGCCCTCCAGCTCGGGGGCAGCAGCTGGATCCCAGCTCTGGGAACACTCCTGGAGCACCGTGGAGGCACCCAGCCATGTCCCCACGGATGGGCTCAGCCCTCAGGCCTGGGGTCACAGCCCCTGGCTCTGGGCATTCTGCCCCGGGAGCCTTTCCCCTTGGAGCCAGGACTCTCCAGGTGCTCAGGCTGGCTCTGAACCCCAGTCTGAACCTGGACACCCCCAGGACACCCCCAGGCTCCTGGAGCAGGCACTGCCTGAGCTGCAGGATCCTGCCCACGAGGTTTCCCGAATGCTGCATGTGTGCATGGGGGCCGTGGCTGATCAGCAATAGCAGTTTTGTTTTCCAGGAAAGCCTTATTTGAGATGCAAGGAAACAATTATTTTGTAGGCCCAGTAGGAATATATTTTGCATACATGAATAGAAAGGTTTACCTCAAAAATACCAAGAGAAAGACAGTTGGATAAGGAATACTCTCATTAAGACCCACCTTGGCACCCAGCACAAGCAGCCTGAGCTGCTGGCCTGACCCACGTCTGTGTGTTGCTGTAGTATGCAATGGGACTCCAGAGAGCAGAGATGTGCTCAGTTGTTTGGTTTGGTTTTTTTCACAGCAGGATTTTGAAACCAAATGCAATGATGTGCATAGAGCTTAACAGGAAAAAAAAAAAAAAGGCAAAACCAACAAAAAAGTACCTTCTTGTATATCAGCGTTAGCTTAGGAAACAGGCACCAAAATGGCAATACTTTTTTAAGGCAAGACAGATTTGTAATATATTTGTTCACTGTGCAAAGGTATCCTACCTTGTACAAAATAAATTGAATTTCTCTCAATGTGTAGTTCTCCAACGTACTCATTTGCAGAGCAGAACTTCCAGCTGTGCACAGAGCCGAGCTCTCCAGGTGATGTGGCCGCTCCCCTCAGCCAAAACCCCCCAGGCACCAGGCTAGGACAGAACTGGCAGGATGGCTCAGAAAACCCAGTGATGCCATTCCAAGTTGGAGTAAACCAAAGGTAAGTGGCTCTGCACACCCTTCTCCCAGTTCCTCGGCAGTCTGACCTCAGTGAGACTCCTGGGAATGCTCAATCCCAGCTGGAAGAGCCCCTGCACACCCACCATGTGTGGTGACACTGCCCTGGGCCACTCACAGGCCCCCAGCCCTTCGGGTGGACACTGGGGACCCACGGTCACCCAGCAGCCACGGGACAAGACACGAGGCAGCCCAGCAGCTCCCAGGGAGCCCAATGAATAAATCACAGATTTGCAGTGGAAACACCTTCAGAATTAATGAGTCCTACGCAATGCAGCCACTGCTACGTGCTGAAGCTTTTCACTATTTGTGCTTCATATTTCTAAAAATCTTGTTAACTAAAGCCCAGCGTGTAATCTTCTTATTTGACAAGCCACACTCAATAAGCTATTTGAGACAGGAAATTCATCAGGTCTGAATTTACAGAATAAGTAATTCTAGCTTAATAAAAATGACTTTAAATCAGAACAATTCCATGTCCTTTCTGCTTAAGAGTCAGAACCTCAACTCCCATCAAAGACAAGAACCACTGATGCTCACTAAATAATTCTTAAAAATTGGGACTTTCAAATATGTAGATGACAGCAAAAACTTTTGGCAAGCAAAGCCCATTTTGAAGCAATATATGGAATTCCCAGAATCTCAAAAAGCTCCTTCCAGGCCCAACGCAATGTGTGTTGCCATCAGTTGTCTCCCATTAGCAGAGAGGAGACACTTCAGTACACAAGTAGTGCCAATTATGGAACAGAATGATTAATCAGCAGCTGAACAGGACAATCCCCCATTGGAAAGCACTCAGATGGAATAACGACTTGCTTTGTCTCTCCCAAAACACCTCTGAAAGATCCTTCCTGTCCCAGGAGTGTCACCCAGCCCAGGCCAGGATCTGCATCCAGGTCCCTGCAATCCTTAGAAAAACACAGCAGAGACCCCCAGAACAGGATTTCTCAGGTGAGAAGTTCCTTTTCTGTACACACCCCATTGGATTTTGCTTTAGAAGTCCTCAGCCTCCCACAGTGGTTTGTGCTCCCACCATCTGCACTACAATTCCATCTGCTACAGGAGGAAGAGTTTTGCCTAAAACCACACAAAATCCAGACTAATGTGACAGCAGAGTCAAATCACCTGCTTATAGGAATGAGAAAAGGAAGCAGAGTGAAACTCATCCTGCATTTCCAGCTGACAAATTTTAGAACTTGTCTGCCAAAGGAAATCGATTGATTCCAAAACCTGCTCCAGTATGGGCAGAGAATGTTCTGCAAGAACAGCTCCTGCAGTGAGAGAGGGGCTGGGCTCCCAGCTCACCCTCAGGGCCATCCCCAGGGCCACCAGTGCCCGTTAGTGCTCATGGGCGCCTCTTCATCACCACACCACAGCAGGATCCAAAGCTTCCATCATCCGCTGCAGAAGGCAGGAGTTCTCCCGCTGAATTTTCTTCCTTGTGGCAACATGGGGAAAAAAAAACAGCCTTGTAGAAGTTAATCAGAGGTTTGAGTAGAGTGAACCCACAGCATTTTCTAAGCTTCAAAGCTTCCTGAAGCTGCCAAAGTGCCCTGGCTACAAACTGCAGCAGCCCCAGGAAGCTCAGAGCTGCTCTCAGGGAAGGCAGCAGTGCTACACAACATTTTCAGCTCCTTTTCCAGAGACACTTCCATTCCAGTGTCTTCTCACTGCCTCTTCCAAGCAGCTCAGAGGTAAAACCTTCAGTCAAATCCCAATTCTCCCAAGAAGTGCAACCAACACCACAGTGAGTTGTCCCCTGTAATTCTTTATTAGAATCATGGATGAATATATTTTAAATCAATCTAAAAAAATAATGAATCAAAGTACAGTACATGCATAAAATACAAAGTAATTTACAAATAGATCAAAATAGCATCTTCAGAACTAATACCAGGAGGAGAAATGGAGTAGAAAACAAGAAGTGACCGACTACAGCAATGCCTTCTGTGTGCCTCACACGTCATGAGCACCGCGAGACAGAAAGGTTGGGAACAGAACACAGCTGGAAGTGCCAACCACATCTGGATCTTCCAAGTGGGTCATATCAGAGTTTGAGAAACATCCCCTACAATCAATTTCTTCCTTGTAATTGTATAAATAACTGCAGGCATTTACACGCCAGAGAGTTCCTTTAAATCCTGTGGGAATGCAGTGGCTGTGGCCCCCAGTGCCAGTGTCGGGCGTGCTCAGGACAGCACAGAGCGAGTGACAGAAGGCACAGGTCATGGATCCCTGAACAGGCAGATTGGACAGGATTGCTACGGAGCAACAGACCACAGGAGGAACACATCCAGACAGACAACTACTCCAGAGGGTTTTGTTGAAGAACATACACCAAACCACTGGAATAATTTTTAAATACTGGATCAACCAGAACTGAAAACTAAGGCCAGGTAGTAGAAGTTATTCATTCATGAACTCAAGCATTTGTATATATTAATATATGTGGCATGCATTGATAGATGTGATATGTAATATGTGCCAACACCCTTCAAGTCTGTGTCCCGTGAAAGAAAAAAAGGCATCCTCAAATCCTGATACCACCAGCACTGTGGAGGCCAAGCCTCCAGCAGCACAAAGATGCTGCAAGTTCCAGAGCTGGAGTGACCCCTCCTCACGGACGTGGCTCCTGTGTTCACCTCCTCCCCAAGGGGCACCTCCGTGGGGTCCCAGCAGCTCTGCCTCACATCAACCTCCTCTGCAGCAGGTGCCAAACCACAGCACCTCTCTCACAGGTAGCCAAAACTGCTGCTAACTGCTGCTTGTTTGCAAGAAATTCTCTTTTCTCCCCCATAATATCCTATAAAACTTCACTTGACAATCTGAAGATGTAGCCAAAAACATTTAACTTACAATAAAATTGCACTTCAGAGCTTCATCAAGTTTCAGATGCAGAATGCAACACCTTAAGACAAGGAAAGATTATTCTGCCCAGAGAGATTTTCCTTGTTAACCTGACAGTAATTGTTTTGTGAGGAGCAGGATAACGTCTTCAAGGGCTCTCCAAAGGTGTCAGTGCTCTGACTAGTGGGCATCATGTTGGGAAGGGATCAGCTGAGCTCCAAGCAATTTACTGAGCCCAAACCAACAGGTCGGTGTTGGGAAAATACTGCAGCCACATCCAAGTAAGAGACTGATAAACACTGAAATCAAAGTGTTTTAAGACATGGAGAAATTCATGGAGAAGGAATAAGCAGTAACTAAACACAAGAATGTAACCACGAGAATTACAAATATATTTAAATCTTGGACCTGGGGAATATACACAGCCTTTTAGGAAAGAATGGACAATTTATATATTCTGACAGCACTGCATCTTTGGTTTGTTTTCAGTGGTTGGAGGGACGTGGATGGGAACCACGTTGTTGCTTGGGGACATGTCATTCTCACGTCTGTCAGACATCTGCTTCTGGGAAACAATCCGATAGATCTCTGGAAGAGGAGAAAGAGCTGATCAATATGTGCACACCAGCAAAATGCCATCCAAGAGTTAAACCTGGGGGAAACCACACACAGCTTTGGAATTACATAAGTAATGCAATGAAGCTTCCACACAAAGTTCAGTTGTGGTGTTTTCTAGATACAGAAAATAAAATATATTTTTGCAACAGAAATTACTTTTTTAGCAACTGTTTTACTTTCCTTGAGATAAGAGTCAGTAAATGGACAGAATTCATGAATCTCCATGCTATCAATGAGAAACTATGTGCCCATCCATTCCTTCTGAAGGTTCTTAAACTCCAAGGACAGTGTCCAAGGACAAGGTCACATGTTTGCTGATGTAGCCACAAACAGGATTAAAGGGAACCATTCCAGATTTCTCTCCCTGATAGGACAGCAAGGGCAATTTCTTCTTGCTGAGCATACCCATCATGTCTATCGTATCCAAGCAGTGTTAAATCTTCAGAAAAGGTTGATTTGGGCCCAAAGGGGGAGACTCAGCCCCTTCAGCAGCACAGAAACCCTTTACAAAATGTGCTGTGTGAGAAATATGGGCACTAGATGAATAGATTCTTAACAAAGGAATCAGAGAGCATGGGACAAACACCTGCACCAAGAGCCTTGTCCCATTCCTGGGGCTTGTCATGGCTGATGGTGCTGCACAAAATCTCAGAGCAACTCCAGCAGCACTTCAGCTGCACTGAGAGAGTAAAGCGTGTGTAGCACTTCACCCCCAGAAAGGAAATACAGGACACCAAAAATAGAACATGGGGAACTCACTTGCAAATTTGAATACCATTAAAAATATAAAAGCTTGCTAAAGATCAGATTTACAAAAAGCTCCAGCTCAAACTCTGAAGGAACAAACTGTACATTAAAATGGCTTTTCCATGTGCAGTCAGGTACAGATCAGGTCATTGAGGCAACCAAACAAGAGCTGAACAGGTTAAAGGATTTTCTGATTTCACCCTTTCTCAAGCTTGCTCTTCTTTCCAACCATCTTACACACAAACAACCTCACAAGATAAGTGAAACCCATGAAAGAAGTCCTTCAAAGCCACCTGCAGCCTGGTGTGTGAATGTGCAGACAGGGCTCAGCTTGGCCCTGTGGCAGCACTCAGCAGAGCCTGTGTGCGAGGTGGGAGGAGCAGAGCTGGAGAAATCTGCTCTGCACCTTCAGGACAAGCTTCATGCTCAGGGCTGACAGCCAGTTCACTCCCAGTGCAGAACAATGCCTGTTCCCATCAACAGGAAAAGCCTCTGGCCACCTTTGTTACTGGGAGTCCTCTGGTAGCACCTCCAGCAGCAGCAATTCTCAGTTTCACTGAGAATTTCCTGAACAAGTTCATACAAGTCCC